ATGGTTGCATGATGATGGATGGTAGCGCAGACAACGAACACGGACAAGAGAAGGCACATAGACACAACACAGCGCTAACTTTCAACAACAGTTTATTACACGCAGATCTCCGTGGTGTATGCGATCCACCACGCCAACGTCGCACGTGCGTAGCTCTAAAAACCATCAAATATAACCAACGCGCGTGTTCCAATACTTTACAATTTTATATTTTTCAATCTTTTTCTACTTTTTCTTTCTTCCTTTTATCCCATGTTACCACAAACCCTATCGCGAATACATGTAATCAAGTTCCTTATCTGTCAACACCACTGATGGGCTGCTCACACACGTGTCACCTAGCTCTGCAATTCTGCCGGCCTCCAATACCAACCGCGTCATCTCGTGCCTACTTCTATTGATTATAACCGTTTCCTTGAATTTCGGTGTGCAATTACATCTCTGGCAATGAAGGGAAAGAAAACCATCAGGAACAACACTATTTACTTTGTTATTGTGCTCGCGCAAGCGATCGTTTATGCATCTACTGGTCTGACCGATATAACACTTTCCACAAGTAAGTGGAATGAGGTATACAACACACATGATGCACTCCACAAATAGGTTTCTATGTTTCTTTTGGCATACATTTGATTTTCCCTTGTCTGGTCTTGTGCTTCTGCAAAGACTCACCAACTTATTGGGTGCCGAGAGAACTACGTTAGTGCCACATTTTTCCGCAATCTTTTTTATCCTGTGAGAAACCTTATGCATGTATGGAATTACGGCAAAACTTTCCTTTCTTGAGCTCACCCTATCCATCCCTTCACATCTTTTCTCCAGCACTTTTCTGTGCAATCCTTCAGCAACGGACACGACGAGGCTCTTGGGGTACCCGGCATTGCTTAGCCTCGAGACCTGTTGTCTGAAGCTTTCATTCATGAGGCACCGGCAGGACTTCTTTAGTGCCTCACTCAAGCACATCTTCGCAATGCCTCGTTTTACCAGTTTAGTATGCGCTGAGTGAAACTGTAGTAAAGGCTTACTTGCTCTGGGCTCGTAACACCAGCATGTCTTTTCATCTGAGAATTGAAAGTTAATGTCAAGAAATCTGAGCCTTCCGTCACATGGCATTTCAAAAGTCACTTCAAGTGGGTTAAGCCCCTCACGAAAAACGCTACACACGCTACTACATTGAGTAGCAAAATCTGCAGTTCTGTCATTGATAAACACTAAAAAGTCATCGACGTACCTAAATACGTGCACAACATTGTATTCATTTAGGCGTCCTGATAGCCTCCTGTCAGGACGCCTAAATGAATACAATGTTGTGCACGTATTTAGGTACGTCGATGACTTTTTAGTGTTTATCAATGACAGAACTGCAGATTTTGCTACTCAATGTAGTAGCGTGTGTAGCGTTTTTCGTGAGGGGCTTAACCCACTTGAAGTGACTTTTGAAATGCCATGTGACGGAAGGCTCAGATTTCTTGACATTAACTTTCAATTCTCAGATGAAAAGACATGCTGGTGTTACGAGCCCAGAGCAAGTAAGCCTTTACTACAGTTTCACTCAGCGCATACTAAACTGGTAAAACGAGGCATTGCGAAGATGTGCTTGAGTGAGGCACTAAAGAAGTCCTGCCGGTGCCTCATGAATGAAAGCTTCAGACAACAGGTCTCGAGGCTAAGCAATGCCGGGTACCCCAAGAGCCTCGTCGTGTCCGTTGCTGAAGGATTGCACAGAAAAGTGCTGGAGAAAAGATGTGAAGGGATGGATAGGGTGAGCTCAAGAAAGGAAAGTTTTGCCGTAATTCCATACATGCATAAGGTTTCTCACAGGATAAAAAAGATTGCGGAAAAATGTGGCACTAACGTAGTTTTCTCGGCACCCAATAAGTTGGTGAGTCTTTGCAGAAGCACAAGACCAGACAAGGGAAAATCAAATGTATGCCAAAAGAAACATAGAAACCTATTTGTGGAGTGCATCATGTGTGTTGTATACCTCATTCCACTTACTTGTGGAAAGTGTTATATCGGTCAGACCAGTAGATGCATAAACGATCGCTTGCGCGAGCACAATAACAAAGTAAATAGTGTTGTTCCTGATGGTTTTCTTTCCCTTCATTGCCAGAGATGTAATTGCACACCGAAATTCAAGGAAACGGTTATAATCAATAGAAGTAGGCACGAGATGACGCGGTTGGTATTGGAGGCCGGCAGAATTGCAGAGCTAGGTGACACGTGTGTGAGCAGCCCATCAGTGGTGTTGACAGATAAGGAACTTGATTACATGTATTCGCGATAGGGTTTGTGGTAACATGGGATAAAAGGAAGAAAGAAAAAGTAGAAAAAGATTGAAAAATATAAAATTGTAAAGTATTGGAACACGCGCGTTGGTTATATTTGATGGTTTTTAGAGCTACGCACGTGCGACGTTGGCGTGGTGGATCGCATACACCACGGAGATCTGCGTGTAATAAACTGTTGTTGAAAGTTAGCGCTGTGTTGTGTCTATGTGCCTTCTCTTGTCCGTGTTCGTTGTCTGCGCTACCATCCATCATCATTCCTAAGGGCCGTTCCACGCGCTTCCCACACAGCCGCAACGCATGTGCCGGCACACCTGCCGTACCCAAGCAGAGAGTGAAAGAGCGTCGCCAATTGGCATAATTGTCCCCCGCTTGCGTGCGGCAGGGGTCGCGGCGCTTGCGTTGCGGCTGTGCAGGAAGCGCGTGGAACGGCACTAAGACCTCACCCCGCCGTCACCGCCGTCGAAGCCTCGCGCCGCATCACCGCTCGCATACCTTTCCCACCTGTCTCCATCTCTTTCTTCGTCTCTGCCTTCTCCCCTGAAACCGGCCAACGCGCAAAACTATCGCTTCGCCGTGTCGTCTTCAACCCCGTGGCATTTTCGGGGTTCCACTCCGCCCGTTGCCTGGGCGTGCTAGCGCCACACAGTCACTCGCTCGGTCTTTCCCGCCTCCGATTGCAACACGCCCTCCCCACCCGCTCCGCGCCCCACCAGCCTTCACGAAAGCCAGCAGCGAGATCAGGCGCATTGTCGTTTGCGTCCCATTTCCAAGGAGCTTCGCTCATTGGTTGTATTCGTACTCGGAACAAGTGCGAGTTTTTAGGGGTGAAGCTCCTTAAGGCGTGGGTCTGTCCATCCCCCGTCGTCGTACGTAGCCACTGGGATGCGAGATGGGAGATGGCGGTACTTGGAGTGTTCACTAGATAAACGCATGGACGGACGCATGAATGGACGGAAAGACAGACTAGCAGACGGACGGACGGATGGATGGACGCGCGGAGTGGGTATGTGCCACAGGGGATGCGAGCTGCGAGATGACGGTACTTGGAGTGTTCATTAGATGGACGCACGGATGGATGGACAGACAGAGTAGAAGATGGACGGGCAGATGGACAAACGCGTAAACGTATGGACGGATGGACGCATGGATGGACGTATGGATGGTCGCACGGACGGACGGAAGCAAGAACGAATGGACGGACGGAAGCACGGGTGTGCTGACGGACGCTTCGCCCCTCTCATCATCATTCACTCCGTGGATATGCTGTGATGTTTTCTTTATTGTTTCATTAATGTTTTTGCTTATTGAGTATAGTTTAGGTGAGTGGTCGTCAAAAACACCATAGTCAACACCCGACACCTGGAATAACAAACCAGGTGATAATGCAGATTAACATCTCCGGTAATGTCATTAAAGATTGCCGTCTTGGCAAATATGCGTGCTCGGCGTACTGAGCAGCTAGGCTTTTTTGCATAGCGACCATGTCAACGGTGAAGCCAGCTGTACAGTAAGCAATGTTGGAGTGAAGTGTTAAGCTGGCAAATGAATCAACAAGGAAAGTGTCAAAAAGTGGCCAATCCTCACTAGGACGCGTGTAAGCTCGGCATTACGTTTGGGTTGCAGGTACAACTATCAAAAACCTGCTTTAGTGGCGTATATTGCTTAGGGATCTCTCTGAATTATTTCGCCGTTTCCGGCATATTGATTGATCGCTGCATGCAGGCTGCTTCATTTTTGGAGCCCTTTCCACGGAACGGTTTTGTAGCGAGTCGAGTTATTTCATGCATTGTACAACTTAGATAATCTGTTCATGTCTTCTGATAGCTTCTGTTCGGTGCTCCCGTAGGTATTGCTTTGTTTCAGCCTTATTTGCTTGCTCCGACTTTCCCCGAACATTGAAGTGTTACGTGCAATGCGCGCAACGGCTTCCAGTGACGGCTAATTAGTAAGTGTGAATCAACAAGCACTGATACGTGCATATACGACCGCGGACGTGTGAAGGAATTAAAGAAGAAACTATTGTGCAAATATCACTGGTTCCCGCGAAACAAGAAAGCGGGAATTTTTCTTGCCATGTGTTTACTAATGTGCTTTCAGGGCGTTTCCACTGTATTTTCCACGTGTTCAGTGGCTTGTTTATACATCGATGATACATTAACGCTGTGAACGGTTGTTAGAACTAATGTAAGTGGATATGATGTCGCAACAGAAGTCTAGCCATCGTATTATTTCGCATACAAAACTCGTATTCAGTGGCGCCTAACCATGTCATGCACTGAAGCGCCGTAGATGCAGCCCAGTCCGGTAGCTATAAATCGAATCATGGTCGTGCCGTAGTATGAAACGGCGACACAGTTGCGGTATTATTTCATCATAACTCTTTGAAAAATTGACACCACTGCACTTCAAAACGTATCTACACCAACTCTACCTATTTCTACACATACACACCGTAAATAGAAATTCTCGAGCACCTCGCGTCTGGTAACAATGACCAGTGGGCCGCGGCTAAAACCCCGATTCGCCCCGCGACTGGCGAGCCAATAAGCCCCGCACTGTCATCGTGACGTCACGTCTCCAGGGCGACGCCTAGCGTCGACGCCGCCGGCCCGCCAACTTATCGATCCGTTCGGCGTCCTTCGGGAGGCACTCTCTCGCAACGGGGCGCTTGTGTGTGTTCCCGACAATCGGTCGCGAAAATTGCGCAGATTTAGTTTTGTTTTTTGCTCCGTTCCAGCTCGGCTGGCCCCTCGATCGTCCGTCGGCAAGCCTAAAGATCTGCGCCGCTTCGTACGACAGCGGAACGCCCGGTGTGTCCACCATGTAAACGTGTTGGTTCTCTCTGCATCTCGCACGCGTACCCCGTGAAGTGAGGGGACTTTCCTTCGACTCCTGCTGCTCTGGGGGCCGCAGGGAAAGAACAAAAAAAGGAGGAAGCTTGGGCGCATTGGTTACGATAGGCCACTCGAACTGGAGCGGCCATGAAGCTTCGCGTCTCGCAGCACAGCTTCCACCACGACGACAGCCCTCAGATCAAGGCGGTCGACGAATGTAAGTATGGTGTTTGACCGAATACGCGGGTTGGTTGTTGCACGCGCCGATACGGCCGCTTCTCTTGCGGACGTAAGCTGTGACTCACCCAGCGCCACATTCAATATGGAGTCTGTCGTATGGTATTGCGCCGGATGGCCGACTCACCTACGCGCAGCGCTTGGTTCGCTTCGCATGGGACCAGAGCAATCAAAACTTCGTTCACAGTTGGGTGTTCCGAGACCAGGAATAGCGGTTCTTGCGTTGTCTTAAGAGCGTGTAGATGTGGTTGGTGATACGGCGCCATACTCTTAAACGCGCACGACACCGAAGTCGCGCACAGTTTACAGGAGGCCATGATTTTTGGCGGGGCTACCGACAGAAACATGAAGGCGAGTGCTGTGTCTTCTGGACCGTAATATGGTACATTTGTTTTGGCAGATTAAGACTGCTGCTGCTTGCATGAAAAAAATAGGGGGCACTCTAAGGTCTTTGTCGCGCAATGTTTTATAACGACTCTCAGTAGCAGGTACAAAACGACGTCACCGAGCAAGTGTGACAGGTGTATTTGATACGTTGTTCTTGATATCTTCGGCGGTGTTTTTGAAATAGTGCATAACGATCGTGTTTATTGTTTTTTTTTGTTGTTTCTCTATTTGTTTTTTTTTTTCATTGCTTACCTTGGCAGTTTACTCTTCGCACTTAACGCCATGTGGTGACTTTCATTAGGCTTGAACTTGTGTGCACAGTCGTGCAGTTCGCAACATTGTCATATCTGCTAACCAGCTTTGTTGATTACGATAAAAAACTCGCCTCGTAGTTTTTTTTGCCACTATGCTAACCCTTGCTAACACTGTGCTAACAATTGAACGATGTACCCCATGCTGATTATAAAGCATTCGGTTTGTATGCACCTGCTCGGAAAGACAAGATCACCTCTCTTGAGAATTGACTCTCATGCCTCTCTTGAGCATTGCGAACGTGGTTTCGTAACGGCAGATCGCCTAAGCCTTCTGTATTCTCGTTCGGCGTGCTTAAACTCAGTTTGTATAAACGCACTTTATCCAGTTCAGGAGCTCTCGTTCATGATGTTTTTTGTTTACCTGCTGTTAACTGCTTCTGTGGTGGCACGCATTTTTTTAGGCGTGACTCGGAACAAAGAATGTCGGCTTTGTGTTGACGTTTGTATAGTCGGCAGTCATCATGCAACAAACGAGGAGTAGCCAAGCCTAACCATTCGCTAGTTTCGTTCTTCTACTAAAAAAAGTACTAGGTTGGCTTTTGTAGAGCTCAGTAACGTATGCTGTCGGGCTAGTTGGTGCGTAGCTGTGTAAAACATCGTTGGCGCAAACTTGAAAGAAGATGAGCGAAGAGACTCGGAAAAGCGCTTTTAAGAGCTTGTGTAGCGAGTAGTGTGATTGGTTTCCTAGATTCAGGGATGTCTATACAGTCCTTACTTTTACTCAAAGCTGACCAGTCGTTCTCATTTACGACGGCGTCTGTCTTGATTACTGATGTAGCTATCAATCACTGAAGCACTGCGTGAGAACACACACGAGCGACGTGCACAGACAGAATATATACAAAACATACAACGACTTCGTGTCCGTCATCCTGCAAGCCAGAAAGGAACGTAGACACAAGTATAAATGGGAACAGACCGGAAAAGGTGGGGAGATGGGATTTGCGAGCACTCAGAGTGGGCAGGAGAAAAAGGGGGAGAGAGGGAACAAGGAGGGAGGCCCGACAAAATCCAGGGCGAAACGAAAGTACTGCCGGAGGCATTTATGTGGAACCGGGAATAAGGTTAGCAGGGAAAGGGGGAAAGCGGGGAAAGCAGCTGACAAGGTGACCAGACGTAACCTTGAATCGAAATGAGTGCGCGTATACCAATCGATGGCTCCGCGGTGCGGAGAAACGATCTTCCGGCAGCGGCATGCACGGCTGGTCAGGCTATCGGCACGAACTCACGCACGAACATTCGGCGCGTCGCAGCGTTTGGCCCGGGTCTGTTTTTTTCTGCAATCCCGGACTGTGCACACGCGTCGCATCTCGATGCCTGGCCCGTAAGCTTTCGCGTCTCCCTCGGGGAAATCGAGATTGGAGGCCACTATAGTGTTTCGCTCGGCGTGTGCGCCGTCAACAAAGACGAACATAAAATTTCATTTCCCCTTCCTCGCCTTCCCATAGAAAGGCCGGGGAAAAAAAAAAAGACACACCATAGTAGACTGAAGAAGCGTGACAGGTATTGTTCTCTTTTATTTTTTTGTGCGTGTTTTGTTCATGTCATTTGCGAAGATATAATAGAAGGATCGCTATTGAAGGGCTGCGCCGAGCGAGGAAGACGGGGCTCTCTGTTCGTTTCGGTAAAGTGATACTTCGCGGCTTTTAGGGTGGAGAAGTGGCGATTTCGGCAAACGCTGCGTGTTTTTTTTCTTTCATGAGGGGCTGTAATGACAGGAAGCAGCAAGTAATACTGTAGAGACAGACCTTTTGCGGTCGTTAATTGCTTCCAACTCATGATTTTTGTTATTTTTTGGGTGGGGGGCTGGGGAGAGGGTGGTGATTGCACTTGTCTGAACAAGAACGTCATGTGAATGTTTTGTGTTCTTCCGCAAAGGCACCCAAGCGTTGCATTGCGGGTTTTGTGCACCAAAGCATCGGTGGGATTACGGAGAATGCCGAATTAGAAGTATGCGAATTAATTTCGATCGCTTTTAGGGCCGTTTAACGAGTGGTGACCGAATTTGGTCCCCACTGTAATGCGGTCGCCGTGAATAAGAGTTAAACCCGCGCTGTTAAGCAACGCGACGTTATAGACGCTTAGCCAAGACGGCGGCTGCAAAAATGTTAGAGCAGACTCTTTTGTCCGAAAATAGCGTTTCTCAACGGGTTCATACTGAAAACTGCTTCAAAATTTTATGGTATCGCTGTCTGTTTTCGTCGACACCGACAAACAGTTCGTGAAATACTCTTGAGTTTTCGTCAGAAGTCTTGAATGAGGCACGTGAACCGGCAACTTCAAAGCTAACGTACTTTATATGCTTAACACACAGGGATAGAGATAACAGAATGGCGCGTGAAATATGTGTGGTATCGAAAAAACAATAGTGGCGCCCTATATATTGAAGTAGTGCCTTCAGGCAGGAACACATTATACAGAACAGAGAAAAAAAATAGAAAACATGCTTTGACACCACAAAAGCTGTAGCAGGTGATTCAGGCGATGAGACCTTCTTAAATACTGGCAAATATCGAACAGGAAAGCACTCTACACTTTTGTCATTCAGTTTTACTGATAACAGTTACAAGATATGTTTACCGAATATATCTTGAACGAAAGCCTACAGTGGCCAGTGGTGGGTTCATTGAGGAATATGACGGAGAGGTTAGTAACAGTGGAAATATAGTAAATGCATACCAGCAAGCAGTGTACGGGCTTCGTGAAAAGGAATTTTCCGGATTAATACCTCAGACTCCCAATAACTGGGGCTCTTTCTTACGTTTGTTCATCAAGTGCTGAAGAGGGAGATAAGAACAGTAAACGTAGTAACTGATACATGTACTCAAACCCTGAAAATGCCAAACAGCACAGCGGCATTGACATTTGAGCGCTCTGTTACCTACATTGATCACATGGTCACACTTTTCGCGCTTATATTGATTTATAGCAATTTGTATAAAGGTACACGGACGTTGCCAAATTTATTGCACGCAATTCCATCGAATGTATGTACGTATCTGACAGAAAACTATAGGTGGGTTGAGCGTACGCCATTGCGTCCTACTGTGCAGGAAATCGCAAGAAGAGACGTGAGACGCAGTGGAAGCGTCGTTATTAAGTGACGCCGCGCAGAGTCGTGTTCCGTTACACACAGGCGAACCTGTCGAGGTGTCATGACGATTGCGACGATAACATGCTATGCTGTCGCATATCCAGGAAAGTAGACGGGGCAACTTAACGACCACTGCTTAGGCATCGTATACGGGCTATCGGAGCGTCCACATTTTGTTACGCCGTCGTTTGCGTTCTTGAACATAGCCTTTAGTCACAATTGGGCACTCTTCAAAACGCGCAAATCCTTCACCTTTTAGGTACTCTTCTTTTTCTAATCGAAAGGGGAAGAGAGGGCTTGCCAAGGGTAATGTTGCGAAATATCTATTATGTCATCTCTTTCAATCATTTATTGTTAATAGCCAAGTGGCCACAAGCATCTCTTAGGCAGCATACCAAGTTCCACAATAAGGCGTTTGTGTGGTTGATAACTATCGTGAGTCTCGGCTGAGGCTTTTATGGTGAGCTGGGCAGTTCATGTATGCACTTTTTACGAAAAAAAGCATCGTATACGTATACGGGCTGTCGGAACGTTGTATAGGTTCGGAGCCTACCGGCGGTAAATGATTCTTGTTTCGTCAGCTGTTATGTACCTCCATTTATGCCGTGATCACTACGCTACAGTTGCATACTACGCATATTAACCCATGTTTTCCTCGGTTTCATCGTTTGTTTCCTTAATTAGGTCGTCTCACAAAGAAACGAGCCCTACATTGATATATTTCCCTCCCTCAGTTACTAGCCGTTTTAAATAATGTCTGAGTTTGGCAATAGACGTTTTACTCGATCACTATACTGACCGTAACTTGCGTACGGTTGCTCCAAAGAAAAAAGAAAATCCGTCTAAAGGCAATAATTAAAATAAAAAAGGGAGAGAGAAAGCTACTATGCAGAGTAAGTTATATTAATGTACACAACGGAAGTTGCGACCGTGATCAGTACGCTTCTGACGTGTGACTATAAGCATCATTCATGCTTCAGCTGTCTAGATAGTGAAGATTTGTCATAATTAGCCCACACCCTTCATTATCATGCCCCTCAAGCTTTATTTTTTTTCCCCGAGCATTAATGTATTAAACCTGCTCTTCATTTCGTATGCAGCAGACGAGGTCTTCCTATTTTTATTCTTACTATAATGCTGCTTTACCATTGACGCTTTACGCATTGCATCGTTCATAATTAAGTGTAAAGACCAGCGAAGCGAACACTCGAAAGTGTCGTGAACACACTGTAGAGGCAATAAAAAGAAAGAAATAAGAAAAAAGAAAGAAGAAAAAACAAAAAAAAACGCATGATGGAATGATATATTCCGCTTAACTCACTCGACTCTGCCATCTATATCGCTTAATATTTATCCTTAGTTTGGGCGTCCAGTCTCTGCCACGATATCCTGTCAGTCTTAGTTTCCGCCATATTTGTTGTGCCCGTTTGTTCCTCTCCCCCCCCCCCCCCTTTTTTTTCTGTCGGGGGATTATGCCTTTTATATAACGTTCGTGAGAAACGTTCCTGCTGTTCTTCTATTCGCCGCTATATTCTCAACATACCGAGAGATGCTGGTGCCTTGCTTTACGCAACATCGTTGCTGCCATATTCTATTTAAGTCTACAGAACTCTGTAGAAGCCCGGGAGATTAGATTACGCCTTGTGCCTCGTTTTAGTATATTTTTACGTGCTTTTCTTTCAACTCAACAAAACACATAAGCGTTATTTATTATTTTTTGGATTGTGTGTGTGTGAACTGAAAAGAGTTGCAGAATCTAATGTTGACTGTAGCGCTTTCGAAATAGAACGTTCACTGCCTCGCAACATCAGACGCCCTTTGGTGTTTGGTGTGTCGCAGTTGGCGGCCTAAAATAATGTTGTTTCTCACGCGGACGACTTCTTTCTTCTTTATTTTCAATTGTGCGTGAAATTAAAAAAAGTCGTGAGTCTTCAGTGTAATAAAACCCACGAAATCATTGTGAGGCTTTCGGGTGAGGCGTTGGTGTCTGCATGTTTGTTGTTGCTACTTTCTGGTCTGTAACAACCTTTCTTTCGGGATAAGAATGATCGTTTTATAATTATTAAAAATTTATTGATGTCACGCCTAAATCTAATAATTTGTTTCGTTTCAACTATTGGCAAAATTTTGTTCTTGGTATGCGTTATGAAACTGAAATGAACATGCGCAGAAGAAAAAAATCATACGTGGTTTCGACAATGACATATTGATTTTGTGTGACTCCCTCAAAATGAAAGTACGGGAGAAAGGGCGTGGTTCGAGGGGCTAGTTCTTTTTCCATCAGACACGACTAATTAAACTAACCTTCTATGAAGCCGATGAATAAATACAGAGGGGGGATATTACTTGCTGTTGTTTTATCATTGAAGCCATTACAACTGGCATTAAAATGTTCATGGTCACGAGAACACTATTATCGTCATGAACAGACTGGGCATGTGCTGCGGGTATTGGGCAATATAAATATCCCACTACTCATGAAGGGGAAACTAAAAACGAAGGCAGCAACAGTTGGCCAAGGAAATGGCTGTTAGCACGGGGACGTGCCTGTGAAACTGGGCAAACCCCACCAGTCGCCACAGGTCTGCGAGAAATGGAGAAGAGCGATAAATGACCACAAAGCGGCGGCGGCGATCAGCAAACCCACGAGTACGACCAGCTGAAGGAACAAAGATAGAGAAAGCGATTGATTCTAGGAGAAAATAATCTCTTCGCGAGGCGAGATTCGAACCCTCGTATAGAGCATACGAAGGCGAGCGGCTAGCCGAGCACAGTATAACGTTGTAGAGTGCAGTATAGCAAGGGGGTGGGAGAAGAAAGGGGGAGGGAGAATATGGAAAGGAGTACAGCAGAGAGGAAAGCATACCTATAGAGAGATAGAGGTAGAGGGAAAAAGGGACAACAAAATGGAGGCAGAAAAGGGTGGGAAAAATGAGGGAATCAAAGGAAGGCAGGAAGGACGAGCGATGCTTAGAAAGAAAGGAAAGAGTAAAGGAAAATATGAAAAGAAAAATAGTTTGATACAGAAGAAAGAAAGAGTGTCAGGAAAGAGAAGCTAGAAATACAGATAGAGATAAAAAATGGAAGGGGGGGAGAGAAAGATAAAAGGACCACGAGAGAGCAAGAAGTGTAGAGCGATAGAGAAATAATAGAGAGGTGAGGAGGACTGGAACGCCACTTGCTCCGCTGTTACCTCAGTCTGAGCCCCAGACACTAACACAGAGCCGCCCTAGTTTTTTTTCCTTCTTTTTCTTTTAATGGTTGTGTAATGACCTGGACCTAGATTTGAGGGTATTAAAGTGAGCCGGAGATCGTCCTTCCCGTCTGTGGGATCCGAACCCACAACATTCAAGTTACACGTTTGGTGCTCCGGGACTGAGCCATGGCGAACGGCGCTTTCTCTTCCTCTTCTTGAAGGGCCTGCCCCGCCACGGTGGTCTAGTGGCTAATGTACTCGGCTGCTGACCCGCAGGTCGCGGGTTCAAATCCCGGCTGTGGCGGCTGCATTTCCGATGGAGGCGGAAATGTTGTAGGTCCGTGTACTCAGATTTGGGTGCACGTTAAAGAACCCCAGGTGATCTAAATTTCCGGAGCCCTTCACTACGGCGTCTTTCATAATCATATAGTGGTTTTGGGACGTTAAACTCCAGAAATCAATCAATTCTTGAAGGGCAAGCTTAAAACTGAACGCATCCCTCGATTCATCATCGAGGGATGCGTTGGGCCGAATCGTAGCTGAGAACCGTTTTTTTTTTTTTTGACCTCGCACGATATCTCCAGGATACTTAGCTGACCTTCATGTGCACTAAAACGGATATTAAGAAACTGAACGCTAAAACTGATATCAAGAAACTGAACGCTAAAAAAGATATCAAGAAACTGAATGCATCCCTTGATTCATCATCGAGAGATGCGTTCAGTTTCTTGATATCCGTCTTAGTGTACAGGAAGGTCAGCTATGTATGCTGAAGATATCGTGCAAGGTCAAAAAAAAAAAAAAAGAACAGTTCTCAGCTACGATTCGGCCCATTCTAAGAAGGTCTAAAGGGTATTGCTAAAAACTTCATGCGCGCTGCTCTCAGGAAGTCCTGCGTTCGTCAAGTCACGTGCAGTATTGAGTTATGTGCTCCGCATATACGCCAGGTTAGGTTCCCCGTTGACCCATTGAAGTTCCCCGTTGTTTCCCGTTGAGGTTCCCCGTTGAGGTTCCCCATTGCCGGAAGCTTGCCTAAGAAATGGAATAATGAGAACCACACAGGCCCCTATCAAGTGGGCACCAAAATGGTGCGGCCAGTGGCCGTGCTGTATACCTGCATGACCTCTCCCACCGCCTCAAGAAGGTGGTCGGAAAGTGTGCCCCCTCGGTTGTTCTTTCGGCACCTGACAAGCTTGAACGTATGCGCAGCCGTGTGAATGGGGCTGACAAGGCTGGCTGCGCAAAAAAGCACGCCACAAATTTCATTTATTGCAATGGGGGTGTGGTGTACATGATTCCACTCACTAGAAGGATGCGCTGTGCGCGCCAAACTGGCTCCGGCATTAACGAAAGGCTGGGAGAACATCGCACAGCTCTCAATTCAATGGCGGGGTGGGGGGGGGGGGGGCATTTGGCAGATCACAGCCGAAGGTGTTTTTGCACGCCTGAGTTTAGGCGCACCCGTGTCTTGCGTAGCTTTGCTGCTCAGCAAGCTCGCAAAATCTACGAGGCTTACTGTATCGCTATATAAAAGTTGATAAATGCGTGAGTACGCCTTAACTGGCTTTGCACGCGAAACATAAAGCATATTTTACTTAAAAATACTGCCAATCTCAAACGAGATTAAGGCAGGAAAAGGGGAGAAGGGTTACAGCAGAATACATAAAAACAGTGAAAAAATTACACTAAGTTGAACTAAAATGCGCTAAAATAAGTAAATGCAAACATAAGTTAACTACAGAATATGCAATATAAGAATCACGCAGCTAAAAAAGAAGAGTACAGAAAGAAAAAATAACGTACATAACAATACATAAATCAGGAACAACATAAACGTGCTGTGTTTGTAACGTTCCCTCAATTGTTGTGATGAATCTATCTATAGTGAGTGAATGTTAGCAGTTCATGGATCAAGCTCGTTCCATTCTGTTATGGCTCCAGGGAAGTAGGAGGATTTAAAACAGAATGGTGCATATATTCAGTTGCCCCGCAGCGGTGGTCTAGTGGCTAAGGTACTCGGCTGCTGACCCGCAGGGCGCGGGTTCGAATCCCGGCTGCGGCGGCTGCATTTCCGATGGAGGCGGAAATGTTGTAGGCCCGTGTGCTCAGATTTGGGTGCACGTTAAAGAACCCCAGGTGGTCTAAATTTCCGGAGTCCTCCACTACGGCGTCTCTCATAATCATATAGTGGTTTTGGGACGTTAAACCCCACATATCAATCAATCATATATTCAGTTAGTGTCATAGAGTGTGTGTTACGTGTAGGTCTGCATGAGGTTACCAAATATATGTAGTGGTGTCTGTAGCGTCATGGCGGACATCAGCCCCAGTAGCACTGTCTGCACCTGCTTGTGGGTTCTGCGCATGTCTGTACATTTTCGTCGTTTCATGTCAGTAAATTTTCAGTTGATGTCTAACGCCCGTTCTGCTTACGTGCTGCGTTTGCTCCGCTGTGCTTGCTGAGATGCACAAAATCTACGAGTCCCCGGACCACAGGCATTGTCGCCTGATATAAGCTATCCGATGTTACAACACCAGCACTGCCTTCGTTTGATATGAATATTATAGAGCACTCGCATGCACACAAATAACCTGCGTTGGCTCTGAGTCGTCATATTTTTCTTCTCTCGTTGACCATCGATGCTGTTCTGTTGCAGCGAGCCCCGCCCTGGTGGGCATTGGGGTGGGCAGTTTGGTGCTCGTGGTGGCCCTGGCCGCCGTCTCGTGCGCCTGCTACCGTCGCCGCGGAGTGGCGCAGGCCAAGGGCCCCTCTCAGCGCCGGCACCCGGACAAGAACCTGCCCCTGAAGAAGTCGTCGGCCGTGCGGTCTCCCAGCAGCGGGCCTGCAGGTCCCATCCTCAAGAAGTCTCCTAGTCCGACGGGGGGAAGCAAGTCGCCGCTAGGAGGGAACAGGTCGCCCTCCAGTCAAGGTGCGTTCTCAGAGGAAAGACCATTAAAAAACACGAACGAAAAAGAAAGGCGCGAAAAAGTCTCGGGGCGACTCGCTGCCATTACACTTAAGCAGTTTGCGATCTTCCTTCAAGATGATAGTTATAGCGCGAAAACAAAACGACGACACAGAGACAAGAAGGACACGAAAGACACGTGTCCTTCTTCGTGTCCTTCTTGTCTCTGTGTCGTCGTTGTGTTTTCGCGCTATAACTATCGTCATGCCATACCAACTAGGCCAAGCTGCCACACTTCCTTCAAGGCTTGTTCAGGCAAGGGTTTATTCAAAATTTTGATTTTCAGAATTTATGTAAAGGGAAAAAGAGAAGGGGATTTTTTCCTTGAGGGGGGGGGGAGATAAAAGATAAAAATATTCATCAGGCGAGGAGCAAGTGATTCGGCATGTGTTTAGCCGTAAATTGATCAAGAATATCGATTTAAGATTTTTGTGGTGTGTGGGGGGAGGGGGAAAGAAGGGGTAAATGAAGGCCTGTTTCTATGGTGGTGCGGTGTGTTGGTGGTGTATAATTTTTTTGTTGTTGTTGTTAGGGGGTGGGGGGGGGGTGGAGAAGGTTCTCAGGCATGTTAGTGGGGTGTTGGAGATGTGTTTCCGTCACTGTCAGCAGAAGTGATTATAATTAGAAGAAATGCGCAATTTTCGGCAACTCACCGGGAAACACAACTCCGCGCCACAGTGAAGAGAGTAGGGAAATAAGGGAATCGAAGAGAGACGAGCCAGGAATGCATGCTGAGCTCGCCTTCATTGGTGACGACCCCTGCTCCTTCTCTATCAGGCAAGCATTACATAGCAACGAAAGTCTGGCCTCTATGCAAATAAACGAACAAACAAGACAAGGTCACTTATTGCCTACGTGGTGGGGTGGTGAGTTCAGAGCTTTGAATCTACAGCAACTGCTAGAAGTGCCTGCGCTGTTTTCTATGTAAACACTTAAATACTCGACGACGATTCCATGACGTCAAAGAGGCGAGGGCGATCGATCCTTTCAGTCAACAAAGGAATGATTGACGTCGGGAGCAGATTGACTGCGCTGGCAGAGAAGTAAACATCCCTCACTTTGCCTATTTCAGTTTCCGCTCTTCTTTTTCTCTTTATGTGTTATTGTCAGCACGTTTTCCTCTTTGTTTATATCTTGATCACTGACTATTCTTGCCTCGACTGTACTCTGGCATCACGGTTTCTTCTCAGGAGCGCTTAATTACCACTCATCGTCAGTTAGGCTATGCTATCTTGGTTGGTTAACGGGTTATGTACGCAGAAAGTTTCTTTTTTTTAGTAGTGCAAGGTCTATTGTTCGATGAACACACCCACGAGAGAAAGGGAATAAGTAACTCGTGTCATTAGATAATGACAATATCTATGTTTACGTGACAAAACCACGATATGAGTATATTGCACGCCGTATACTGGAGAGCCCCTGAAATTTCGACCATCTGGTGTTTGATGTCATCGTACGCTGACATCACAAGGTACACGGAGTGAGAACATCTTCGAGTTTGATGTAAATATTAGCGCTTTGCGACCTTACCTGTTAAGGGAACATTTGTGTGTATTGAAGTACTATAGAGTTACGTGCGTGAGCGTTGGTTGACGTCCTATTTGCATTGTTCTTTTCAATCGCCCGCCACTTAGCGACGTTAACTAACTATGCAAGAGAAGAGTATACCGGGTGCCACGTATTGTCATTAGTAAATTTGGCAATAAATTGGCGTCTCGCACTGCGTCGGGGTCGCAGGTGGCCTGACGCCTCCGACAGAGACGGCCCGCTCGATATGCGAGTCGGCGACCAAGGAAGTGCGTACCGCGGTGCCCACCGCGGCGGCAGCTTCGACCGCCAGCTCCGCGGTCGTCGCCTCGACAGCCAGGGCGCAGGCGGACGGCGACAAGAAAGACGTAAGCCCACCGGCAACTGAAGATATCGCTGACACCAAGGAGAAAGAGGTACGCCTGGTTAAGCGCTTATTCTTTTGCTATAGTTCACTCAGCAATTATCCTAACATAACCTACATACATAAACAAACCGGTCCGAACCGCATGCCTACTAACAGCTCACCCGTATGTAGCCGGGATGCGCATACCACTTATCTCGTTTAAAGGCAGCAAACCTACGATATTAGATGCGGAGCATCTTATACTCGCGCCTTGTAGTGCGCCGTCCGCGCCGTCCGCGCCGTCCGCACCGCTTCTCGAACATTCGACAGCTGACGCGCGCGCATGCGCCGTCGCGCCGTCGCCCACTCTTCCACCATCTGTGCATCCCTTCCTCCTCTACACACCGCGCGCGCTTCACTCCTCCACCATCTGTGCACCCTTCCTCCTCTACACACCGCGTTCGACATCTACAATTCTCCTGATTCTCCAGTGGACGCGCATGTGGCGTCGCGCTTCGAGAACATTCAACAGCTGACAGTGCATGCGCCGTCGTGCTGTATATATACTCAAGGTCGGCGCTCGCTCGCTCAGTTGCCGCTCGTCGGTTGGTTTGTACGGCGCGTCGACGTCCAAGGTCGCGGTGAAATGAATTCCAACGAATCCACAAACACAATGATCGACGTCCCTTCGACCAGCGCCGCCCTTTCGCATACGTGTGTACGTGTTCACTCATTTAACCTCCTACAACCACGTTAACCAATTTAGCCATCGACCCAAGTAAGTCGCAATTTAACACCCCATTTCACAACCACGTTAACCAATTTAGCCATCGACCCAAGTAAGTCGCACTTTAACACCCCGTTAACCAATTATATGGTCCGCATCCTCCTCAGTGTTCCCCCGAGGGAAGCTGCGGGCAATTTTTTTTTTCACTGAACCTTCCTGCTTTTTGTTCTCGGTCTCTTTCAGGACGGTTAGTATTTCTTCTTAATTTTCTTAGTTTAGTTTACCATTTCGTTTAACTCTCTCGCGCCACGTCACTCGCGAGCTCTGTCTTTCGATACCACAATCGCAGAATCACGCATTTTATCGCTAATTCGAACGACCATCCATTCGCACCCTCGCCCTGCCCGAAGGCTCAGCGTGTACCGCCGCCTCTATCTTTTGTTGCTGCTACGACGTCATTGCTTTCCCTCTCCAAACGCTTCCAGCCCATGAATTCGTATTGTATGTGCACCGCTGGCGTGCGAGCTTATATAGATGGGTACGCAGACACTGTTGTTTCTGATGTGTTGCTGTGCGACACTCGGGGATTGCGAGTGAAACGGGCTATGCAAGTCGTGTTTTCGTCAGCCGTGCTTTAAAAAAGGGCCTAGACCACATCCAGCTGAAGGTCGAGGCAGTAGTTTTATTTATTTATTTTATTTATTTATACTGTTAGCCAAATGCCGATACAGGGTGGAGTACTGAACTACTCTTCACACATTGTTCAAAAGACACAAGCGCTACACGGTGAAATCGAGTCAGACAATGCATCTGACAGCTTTAAACAAAACTACACCATACAGCCCATACAAATCGTAATGCAAACGGAAAGCAACTCTTACCAAAAGTGCAACGCGCAAAAGTATTTAGGTTTTACACAGTAGTGACCAACATTGAGCAGAGTTTCTTTCTCGCCTTCTCTACCCTTCCCTCAAGCGCTATCTTCTCCTGGCCACTTATTTCTTCGGAAAACACGTAGAATGTGAGCCCGTAAGGAGTCGGCGCTTTTCGACTGCACGCTGCCTTCTCCGCTTGCGCGGTAGCAAGCGCACAAAACGAAGTGAAATCAGTTTATTGCTCACGACAGTGATGTGAGGCAGCGCAGAACAGGCACGTGACTGCAGGGCCAAAACGAGTAGGCGACAATTTCGCAACACATGTCTCTCGTATATGACAGGTGTAACCTTAAGAGACAAGACGAGAGCAGACTGGATCAGGGATCAAATCGGGGTTAAGGATATCGTAGTTGAAATCAAGAAGAGGAAATGGACATGGGCCGGCCATGTAGCTGCGTAGGCAAGATAACCGCTGGTCATTAAGTGTAACTGACTGGATTCCCATAGAAGGCAGCCTGGTTAGGGGGAGACAGAAAGTTAGGTGGGCAGATGAGATTATGAAGTTTGCGGGTATAAAGTGGCAGCAGCAAGCACAGGACCAAGTTGACTGGTGGAACATGGGAGAAAGCCTTTGTGCTGCAGTGGACGTAGTCAGGCTGATGATGGTGATGATGATAATCTCTCGTATATGGATCAATCGAGAGCTTATTCCATCCTGACGTCACGTGAAGAAACAAAAGATGTCATGAATTACGCCTCAAACATGGGAGGTGGTGGGAGAAAATAACGCGTTTGTTCATCGCATTTTCAAAGGTTCTTTCGGGGGCCCTTAAAGCTTCAAGTGACAAACAGCAAGGTATACCCCTACCCACAAACTATATGACTCAACCTCGTTTCGTGACTCACTCTTGCTCAAATTTAGTTTGGCGTGTAGGCTCCCTCAAGTGTTTAAAATATTTCGTGACTCTTTAACGTCATGTTAAACATTGAATAGTCATTTGGTGTTTCTTTTTTTTTACTTCGTCATCAGGTCACGTGCCTAGATAACGCACTGACGCGCCATCTGTATATCTCAGGCTTCCTCACGCGAGAAGCTCCCCGACGTGCTGTCCTCGGAAGCAGCCGTGCAACTGCTGTGCCAGTTGTCGCGTGATCATCGAGGGTGGTGGCCAGCTTTGGGCTGGGCGGTGCCTACGTGCCGCGACGTTGCTACAAGCGCGTCAGTATGTTGACGGTGCCTACCGCTGTTTGCAAGCATGAAATAGGTTTATAGATGATGATCCGGCATTCTACTGGCCGATTCTTCTGAGTGGTGTGCCAATCATCATCATCATCATCACCATCATCATCATCATCATCAACATTACTGCTACACAGGAGGGGTCTTCCCAGGAAGCGTCCAAGCAGAGGTGTTTCCTAAAGAGCATAGCGCGATCAGAACAGTACTACAATAATTATTTTTTTTTCCGAAACGTTTTTTTTTTTCAATTTCCCCCATTCCGTTCCCACTTGTAAGGCAGCAAACTTATCCTGGACTGGTCAACCTCCCGGTTTTTCCTTCTCTGCCACTTCCCCTCACTCTTCTCCGAAACGTTTAATCATTCAACGTCTGGTTGAGTAGCCATGTAACAGCGTAAAACATACTCGATAAGCATCAGCCAAGAAGGTCACTCGAACCTCTCATTTTACGACACCACTTCAGTCGCACCGCTACCACTGTAATTTGTAGCGTACGTCTACAGATAAGCTCGTTCACTCATTCAAAAGGACTGATAGTTTCGCTAGTCCTCTGACTTCGCTGCGAAAAGTTCAGAATAACGTTTCGTTCTTCGCACAGTGGGATCATGTTACGCAGGAAAGACCAACGATTGCCTCAGAAGAATGAAAGTTGATAATGTACAACTACGCCCTACCGCCGTGCATTCTATACGTATTCAGTTCATTTCGAAAACTGTACTGATCGATACTGCCCTAAAATACGATGGTCAATAACTCGATACTTGGACGCCGTTGAGGATACAGCGCAGTGGCGTGACCTTGGATATAAACGAATAATAAGTAAATAAAAATGAAACAAGAATTCGAAGACTCATGTTTGAAGCTCTTGAACTTTACACAGACATCTAACAATACTGCCTGGATGGACGGCGCTAAAGTGAACCGTTCTACACGTAGTTTTTTTATTTATGTTTTTTTTACTCTTCATTTGGCAGCTAAGCGAGCGTGCACTGTGTAAGCTGTTGTTTACGGGTCGAAGTATGCCTTCATATTCTGTCTGTCGAATTGAAGCGGTCCGTACCGGATGGGATATAAAAGCGTTGTCGAGGCCGCCTTTCATTAGGCGCATAAAGAAGAAGGGGAAAAAAAAGAAAAAAAAAGCTCTAAGCCTGCGTGGTACTCGCAGCACAGTGGCACCATTAGTTGGAGAAGGGGCCTTTTTAGAGCACATTGCAAACTTTATTGGGACGCCTACTGCACGTACAGCTGTGAAGCAGCCACTTCCACATCGTTCATCGCCATTGCGGGACACGTATAATAAAGCAGCCACGCGTCTTTAAAGCGCTGCCCTCTATGTTGATGCTGTATAACTAATGCTAATGATTATGGTAGTGAACGGTCGCGGTGGCCTTGTGATTATGGGGGTTAGACTGCTGATCCGAAAGTCACGGTATCAACCCAGGCCGCAGCGGCTGTATTTGGATGAACGTGGTATGCTAGAAGCAATGTACTTAGATTTATAGGTGCACGCTGAAGAAGACCAGACGATCGACATTTCTGGAGCCATCTGCCAAGGCATCAGTCATAGTGATATCGTGATACTGGAGCATAAAAACCTCACAATTATCAGTAATGACGATGATGATTATCACTGAGCCCATTGTAACGGGCGGGCGTCTTTCAATCACCTGCTCGTTACTAAAGTCACGTGGTGTGACGGCTTGTGCGCTTCTACACTTTTTCCACCCAGTATTATGCGCCTGTTAATCTACCCTCTCAACCTATCTATTATATATATGTGTGTATATGGTCTTCTTCTGAAGAAGTTGCAAGTGATGTAGTGGCTCTGTAATAGAATGCTTGAGTACAGCGCTGTGGACCTGAGTTCGATTCCTGCTTGAAATCCCGGTTTTTATGTGCGCTTGTACGCAGTCGACTGTAGATTATGTGACAGTACGAGTGTGGGAAGCTCACTGGGGGTGTACCATGGCGGTGCCTGTAAGAAGTCGCACCGAGATAGCCCAGAGTCCGTGTTTGTATAAATTTCGCATCCCACAGGAAAGGCGAAGAGAAAAAAAAAACTGAGCGTTTAGCAAGTCGTATGGTTCTTCATTTGCACCAGGTTCATCCAGTTGCTAGCAGCACATCTGCGTGTTCAGCTGGTCATTATGTAATTATTTTTTAGATTAAAAGCCTTTTTGTGAATACATGAAGGTTCTTAATGACACGTCTTCTAGTTACTACACATAAAGACAACACTGACTGACCTATGCTCTAAAGATAAAACATCATGTGTCTCATCAAACGTGAAAAGTGAGCCTCAACGTTGCGAACACGAATGATGTGATGACGTCACAGGTTGCGGAAAATTTGTGACGTCATCGTGACTCACTACTGCGTCCCATGATGACGTCCGAACATGACAACGTCGTTTGATCGAAGGTCACTATAAGGCAGTGAAAAAACAATGTTGTGCGCAAACGACTGAAAAAAAAGAGGACGGCTTTAACGTTTCAATGGAACATAAAGAACCGTGCCACTTGTTGCCTTAATAACACATGCAGTTTCTCGTTTTCTCTTCACTTGTATATGCCAGTTAACAATGCTTTTCTGATTGCACAGGTGACGGAGGAGAAGCCCACGCAACTGGGCCAGCTGCACTTCCGACTGCGTTACAACTCGGAGAAGCACGCGCTGCTAGTGACCATCGTGCGCTGTTCGGACTTGCCGGCGCGGGACCCCAACACGGGCTCCTCCGACCCCTACGTCAAGCTACAGCTGCTTCCAGAGAAGCAGCACAAGGTATACGCAATTGGCCATCTTTCGTGCAACGCCACGTTGCCCGGCTCAACGACATCCGTAAAGGAGAGCCGTATTTTTTCATGGTTGCATCAAGGTATACATCATGGTATGCTGCAACAAGTAAACTCCTACAAATACCTTGGTGTGACACTCACTTCCAACTTATCTTGGCATCTCCATATTGATAATGTTTGTTCATCTGCCTTTTGTAAACTATGTATTCTTAAACATGAACTTCAAAGTGCTCCCACGAATGTTAAACTACTTTCTTACACAGCCCTCGTGCAGCCAAAACTAGAGTACGCGAGCATAGTATGGGATCCTTATACAAAACGTAATATATACACTCTTGAGCGTATTCAAAGAAAAGCTGTTAGATTTATATTCAACAAGTACTCCAAGTTAGACTCACCCTCAGATTTAATGCTAGCCAACAACATTCCCTTACTGCAGATGCGAAGACAAAAAGCTAGATTAGAATTCCTTGATCAACTTTTGACCAAAAAAACAGCTGTAGACCCATCCTCGTATTTGACACCCCTTAGTAGCCGGCCCACCCGACACCACCACCCAAAGGCCTTGATCCCATATTTTGCTCGCACAGACCTACTGAAGTATTCGTACTTTCCAAAAACCATATGTTAATGGAACTGTCTTACTAATACATGTGATGAATGAACTCACCTACCAAACAACCTTCTTCGCCCTTTATTGTTTCGTTTCGCAATTATTTTATTTGTATGTGGATTACCACCCTGCTTGGACCTCGAGTCTGCAGTGTTGAATAAATAAATAAATAAATTAGAAGCTAACGGTTTGCGCTGCTAAGCTCGAAGGCGCGTGTGCCACTCATGCCTGCTGCTGCCTGAATTCGATGGGAGTGTAATAGAAAAACAAGAGGGTAAGATGGTGATGATGTTAATCTGGAGTCTACTGCGGCGTGTTGACTGATAAGTTAAGGGCGTCGGCTAACGGAAATGAGACTAATACACACGGACATTGGCTTCGTAAAGTCAGCCGGTTTGAAATGGGGTCCATTAAACCTCCCTCACTCCGTACTTTTCAAGCTCTGCACGTGCATATACGCACCCATAAACACAGACACGCTTTCGAGACGCCCTTCAATTCTGTACGGTTTTGCGCGCAGGTGAAGACGCGCGTGCTGCGACGCACGTTGAGCCCGGTTTACGACGAGGACTTCACCTTCTACGGTATCAACCCGAACCAGCTGCAGGCCACCACGCTGCACTTCGTCGTGCTCAGCTTTGATCGGTACTCTCGCGATGACGTCATCGGCGAGGTGGTCTGCTCCATGGCGGGTCTCGACACCGACCACCTCGACAAGACGCTCGCCCTGTCCAGAGACATCGCACCGCGCCACTTCAAGGTATACCTGCCCTAGGTTACGGTTTGTTTGTTTCTATACGCCCCGCCGCGGTGGTCTAGTGGCTAAGGTACTCGGCTGCTGACCCGCAGGTCGCGCGTTCGAATCCCGGCTGCGGCGGCTGCATTTCCAATGGAGGCGGAAATGTTGTAGGCCCGTGTGCTCAGATTTGGGCGCACGTTAAAGAACCCCAGGTGGTCGAAATTTCCGGAGCCCTCCACTACGGCGTCTCTCATAATCATATGGTGGTTTTGGGACGTTGAACCCCACATATCTATCTGTTTGTTTCTATACATTCTCGCTTTAACCACGTAAATATGACACTTGGTACACTGAGAGCTTGGTTTACTGAAAAAAAAAAAGTCAAGCTTTCCATTTTCCGGTCCACATATTATTTTAGACTACGTGAGCATTCGTATATAGCCGCCCAAAGTTTCCTTCAGCTATCATTTTTGCTGAACGCCACCATAATCGTCACTGCAACTGCAATCTTCGCAGTGACCAATTTAGGTATGCTGTCCTATATGCTACCGGAATCTTGAAGATAGGTCTTGCGGTGTAGCATAGATAGAGTTGTTACGTATAATGTAGCGATTATCACAACGCAACCTGTGTCATAACCTCGACCGCGTTTCTCCAGATTCGATCCCAGGGTCGCGGCGAGCTGCTCGTCTCTCTGTGCCACCAGCCGGCGGCCAACCGACTAACCGTAGTGGTCCTCAAGGCCCGGAACTTGCCCAAGGTGGACATCACCGGACTCTGCGGTACGTCTTTACCCTTTTGCGACATGGCGTCCCAATTTCGAGACGCATCTTGCTCTTGTCATTTCTGTCTACTGTTGGCTAGAAAGAGTCCACAAATACTGTGATAATGGTCTTTCCACTTTGCGACATGGCCTCCCAATTTTGAGACTCATCTTGCTCTTGTCATTTCTGTCTACTGTTGGCCAGGAAGAGTCCACAAACACTGAGCTAATGGTAAATTGAACATTTTTGTCCTAATTATTGTTGAGTGATGTCGCTTTTGGTTGAAAAGTATTGCTACAAACGATCGCTTTGGTGGATGCAGTACCGTGCTTAATAATACGTCGGATGCGGGGTGTTCCAGCTCGAATTTGAAAATTTTTAACACGAAAGTGTTTGATACCAAGGTACACTGATATTTCAGTGACGTACTTCCGTCACGGAAATGACACATAAAGTAACTTTCAGAAGACAAAAGAAAGAGGTTCCGTGAACGGGAGTCAGACCCACGACCACCCGTGTAGCCAGAACAGCTGCCCGGCACGTTATCCACCTCGCCACGTTCACTTTTTTCTTTCTTTCATGGTACTTGATAAAAATATAGTTGCGTAATAAAGACGCAAATACAACAAACAAGAGTACAATCACGTGGCGACAATAAGCGCTGAAGCGTTACTAAGAAACACTCAATGACTAACACAGCGTTAATAGAAGAGCGAGAGTGCTTCAAACCGTGTTATACAAGAAAAGGGGTGAGGCCAAACACCTCACCTACGAGATAAAGTACCAGCCCGGTGTAAAGTCAAGGTCGTCATAAATGTACTTGAGGTAAATAACCATTTCAATGAAGTGTGTGCTTGAAGAAGTGGTGGGTTCTGCATTACGGTCCGCATTTATACAGTCGCTATCGAATATTCTAGCATTATCGCTAGCGGCGACATAGGTTCCAGAAAAATCTGTTATATTCACGAAGTGGGCGTAATCTTAACAAAATGATCTACTGCAGTCTTGACTTTTCTCGAACACTGTATGCGCGGTTTGCGCTGAGAATTGCTGACAGTGAAATGCAATATCAAAATGGGAGCTGACAGATGGAAACAACGTAGCGGGATAATCAGGGTGAACAGTGAAGGTGCCTCAGACAGGCTGGCCGACGTTTCGATAGGAGCACCTGTCTTCCTCAAAGGCGCCGTGTCACTACTAACCCCTTTAAAACTAACACGCCAAGGATGGCACGGTGTTTTTGAGAAAGATAGGCCCTCCTATCGAAACGTCGGCCAGCCTGCCTGAGGCACTTCCACTGTTCACCCTGATTATCCCTGACATTGAAATGGGGCGAAAGCTTGAGGAGGAAAAGTGGCTACATGAAGAACCGTATAGGACGACTTAACGTACAATTTTTAGGCAATAGTTTGCGATGCAATTACAGATATTTGCAATAAAATACGCTATAATTTATTTATTCTAACACTCTAACCTTCCTTATGTCTGGTCTCCGAATGGTTGGCTTCAAGTTATGCAAATTTGACGCGTTTGCAAGCAGTAACACACGAATATAAATCGACCCACGAGTCAGAAGACGCCGTGAATGATGATCGAGAGAGAACGTGCGGTACATCACGTTTCTCGAATCAAGCCTAACCGTTAAAATAGTTCGGCTTGATCGAGAGAGAACGTGCGCGCCGCTACTTGGTTAGTGGAAAAAACGTCGCTAAAGATCGCGCACGCGTGAGCGGTTGGGAAGTTCGTCTTCTTGTTCGAGCAAATCGTCTGTGAAATATTGTAAATTACGGCTACTAGCATTCACATACTAGTTGCACCAGTACAACGGAGGTGCATGATGTAGGCACGACTGTCTGAGATTGTGTGGACCACATGGTCACAACGGTGTGTCTTAGCATTCTTACCGTTCTTAGCATTCTTAGCATTCTTAGCATTCTTATCGTTCGGCGTTGGTTCCCGCCGGTCGCGAGCGTGAGGTGACCGTGACCCTGTGGAAGGCGAATAGACCGTGCCTAAATCTCTTTCCAGATGCGACCAAGTATATTGGCGCACACTTCAAACGGCCCGACTCACGACTCCTTTCATTCTCCCCCTTATAGCACACGGTGAAACTTCTCACTGCAACCTGCGTCTGAGTGCTACAGCCGGCTTTAATTTCGTCTTCTTAACGTTCCCGAACAAACCCAAGCCCCCGCGGTGAGGGCCAGAACACCAGGAGCAATCGGAGGCTGCTCTGCGCTGCTCCCCACTGGCGTAGCTACAGCTTCGGACAAAAGGCTGGGTCGGAAGGGACGCCGGAGCAATAAAGTGTCCGGCCGTCTAGAGCGGGCTTTATTTGGAGCTGCCCGAGGGCGTATCGTCTTCCTGCTTCCTTTTCCACATCCCCCCCCCCCCCCCCCCCCCCACCCGCACGGTTATCTCGTCCATCAATGGAGTCTGCCTCGATGGTACACCTGCAATGCTCGGCTGAAGACTTGAAGGTCGCGAGTTTCGATTCCGGCCGTGGCTGCCGCATACCAGTGGAGGCACAATGCTACAGGACTATGTACTGTGCGAAGTCAGTGCACGTTAAACAACACCAGATGGTCTAAATTTCCGCAGCCCTCCACTACGGCGTCCCTCATGATTACTTCGAACGTAAAGCTCCAATATTATTATAGTATCTGTGAATGGACGAAGTTGTGCGCCTAACTGAGCGAGGTCCACCCCGCTGGTGTCGCGCAGATCCGTACGTGAAGATCTACCTGCTGTACAACGACCAGCGCATCGCGAAGAAGAAGACGCACATCAAGAAGCGCACCGTGAACCCGGTGTTCAACGAGTCGTTCGTGTTCGAGGTTCCGTACAACGAGGGCCTGGACAACCTGAGCCTGGAGTTCCTCGTGCTCGACTGGGACCGGGTGACCAAGAACGAGGTGGTGGGCCGCCTGCAGCTCGGCCCGCACGGTTCGCCCGCAGCGCAGCAGCACTGGCGCGAGGTGCGCAACTCGCCGAGGCGCCAGATCGCCGAGTGGCACAAGCTCAGGGAGTAATTGCCACCTCCGAGACACACCGCAGGTGGGTGCAGGGGTGATCCCTGCAGTGCATTGCGCAGTGGCCTGATTTCCGGTCATTCTTTCGTCAGAGGAGGACACTAAAATGAACATGAGTGGAGGTATGAATGGATGGATGGGCAGAAGGATACATCACTCACCAACTCATTCACTGCACCAACTTTCATTCACTCACTCATTCTCCATCACTCTATCACTCACTCACTCATCCACCCACTCACTCATCCGCTCATTCACTCACTCCCCTCATTCACTTTATCACTCACTCACTCATTCACTTTATCACTCACTCACTCATCCACTCACTCATCCACCAACTCAGTCACCCGCTCACTCACTCACTCACCCACTCACTCTCTCACTGATTCACTTTATCACTCACTCATTCACTCACTCATCCACCCACTCACTCATCCGCTCACTCATTCACTCACTCCCTCTTCACTCACTCACTCATTAACTTTATCACTCACTCACTCATTCACTCACTCTTCCACTCACTCACTCATCCGCTCGCTCACTCCCTGACTCACTCATTCTCTCACTCACTCATTCACTCATTGATTCACTCATTCACTTTATCACTCAAGCACTCACTCATTCACTCACCCACTCATTCATTCACTCACTCACCCACTCACTCACTCATCTACTCACTCACTCACTCACTCGCTCACTCACTTTTACTTAGAGTTGTACCTATGCGTGTAAAAAATGCCATTCACTCTGCTGTTTAACTTGTGCTCTCTGTCCGCCTCGGCGGAACAGAACCTGCAGTGTTCAGCTGCTGACTCGAAGATTGTGAGTTGGATTCCAGCGTTCGCTTTTCTTTGGAGGCGAAGTGCGCGTTAAGAACACCAGATGGTCCGAATTTCCGGAGCCCTCCACTATGTCGTCTCTCGATCATATATCGTGGTCTTTGGACGAAGAACCGCAGTTAATAAAAGAGTGATTAATTATCGTGTTCTATCATCACTGAGGAAGGGAGCATGCCATCGCCTGTCCTAGGAGTGGCCTTCCTTATCAATCACCTGTCCCCTCATGAATGTCGATTTTAATTTTTTTTTCATAATTCCCTAGACGGTTGCAGTGTTTCTAGCTTATCTCTCATACTTTTGCAGTATACTGATTATATTGTTATGCGGCTTTCACTATTTTGCTCTATATCACTTAAATGTAGATTTTTCACTTACCCTTATTCGTCTTATTTATAGCTGCAAAGTTACTTGCTTTTAAGTAAGATTTGTGAAAGATTTCTTGCAGATTTAGTCATTTTACGTAATTAATTTTCGTTCCAGGTTTAGGAGGGAAAAGCAGCGGCCTCCGTCTGAGACTTCCGACTTTGAAGACGCAAAGAAAAAAATGGAGTCGCACCGGAGGAATGGCGAGACGTCTTATCACTTATGTTGTTCATTGGCCTTCTAACTGTTTAAGCTCTATATAATATCAGAAAAGTTTCTTCTGCCGAACGGAGAGTATTATTTTCCGACACCTATAACGACGTGAATTCATTGAAGTGAACTTGCCTTATGTGTTTACCAATGACCCAACTGACGGTGTCCCACGCTTTTCAGAAAAACAAAAAAAGTGCTTAGATAAACTAGAATAAGTTGTAAACCGAGCACGGGCCTTTTCCTTTCGCACCTGTTTGCCCGCACTGACACTTTGCAACAACTGTTTCGTGAGCTGTAGGTATTGCTTAAGAGAAAACTTGCTTTTTTATGCTTATCGCCGCTTGCGTTCTTCCTGATTGACACAAGTTTCAATGTTCTGAGATTCATTTGCCGTCGCTTGTTGCGTGGCCGTACGCGATGTATATCCCATAGTGTGAACTGGGTCACTACATTTAAATGCATATGCAAAAAAGACTAGATGTACATACAAGTCGCGACGAAAACTGATCTCTTTTTCTCTCTTGGTTACTTCCTCATTGGTAGAGTGCTATGACTTAAAAAGCGGCGTAAGGTTTTTTCCCTATGATTCCACAGTGACACACCAGCCACATTATTTTACGAGATCATCCACCTTTTCATTTCTTATACAAAGTTTGAAAACTAGAGCTTTCACTGCAAGATGTAGAGAAAGTCCTCAAGTAAACGGTGTGTGTTTCGTCGAACGGCGAATTCAGCTCACAGAGCCAGAAACCACGTGATCCTGTTCAATAAGACCTGCGGTAGTACCTAGCTTAGCTACTTAGGAGTGTTGCGTGTGAGTGGATTCATCTGCCTGTCTCAAGTCAGCACCACTTAACAGGAGAACATATAAACAGTGCGGCCGTTCACGTACACCAGATAGGCGGGTCGCGTTAGCTCTTAACAAGAGCTACGGCTGCTAACTAAGTCGCAGTATTTAACTATACACGATACATCAACGCGAGCTTCTGTGCCACCAGGTTACTTTCGTGCGTCGTCGCCTTTTTCTCGTCGCTTAATATTTCAGCCGATGCGAAGCTGCGTGTTATTGTAATAACGACGACAGACGAAGCTGTTTTTGTGATAAGTGAGACGGAATAGATGACTTAGGTTGAAAAAAAGAACGATAGAGCACGAACTTGTTTCACACTCGAGGACTGGTTCAAAGATGCCCCAAGTTTTTGTCACTATAAATTGAAAGCAGCGCGAAACACACCAACACGATCGCACCGTTTATCGCTTACGCCGCTAACAAACAAACACGTGCACCATACGCTAGCCACGCGGTGACATTGCGAAACCAAGCGGCGACCTTCGACAGGAAGCCACAGCAGCGCCTGTGAAAAGTGGCCCGCAAGGGAGCGTTCCATACACAAAGACGGGGCTGCATGTTGAGACGGCTTCACTTTCCTACATGAAAGACATATCGTGTTAGTGTGGAAGTGGTTGCCCTTACGTGAACCTGCGCGCACGTAAACGATGTGCGAAGATTCTTTGCGAGGAGAGCGTTTGTGAAGCCATGTGCGAAAGTTAATTGTTTATCCTCCCCCTCCACCCTGTACATACGACGACCCACTGTAACACCACGCGGTAAGCAACGACAGCGGCAGAGTATTTTATGTACCACGTTGAATGATGAGGAAGGAGAAAGTGCGTTGCACGTTTTTTTTTCCTTCTTCTTCGGTGTCTATACTACTACAGCAACTATTACTGCTTCGTAAGTACGAGCGTACACATATTCGTGCGTATAATGTCGAGATACATGCTTCTGTATAAGCAAAGTGAAAAAACGACGAAGCAAAGCCTATACTTACACAAATCCCGCTGTTATCCAGACACAAGCCTCCGCTCTGAACGAGTGAGAAATACCTTTCTTCCCGCCAACTTACAGTGTTGTTCCCTCGTAGACTGTTTTATCGCATCGTTGGATCGCGCGTCGCTGCTGATTTTTTTTTTTTTGCGTCATTGTCGATGCTTATTGTATGACGTGCGCGGATACGTATTGCGACTAATATTATTGTGCCTCGCATCCAGACTACCCGACCTCCCTTTCCTTCCCGCTGAACCTTTATCGCCCTCACCTACCCTCCATCATCTCTTATGAATTCCCCCCCCCCCTCCAAGTTCACTTCTAATTGTTTTTAACACCGATCTCGTTGCGAATACTTTATAATATAGGCGTGAAGTATAACGTGTCTTTTAATTAACGTATCGTGCTGTAAAGTTAAGAGATATATTACACCGCTGGTCGGGCGCCGTGCGTCGAGGGCAACATTGTTGCAAATCGAGCCTGTGGCCGTGCAAATTACGAGCTCTCTCTCTGTAACCCGCGCAGCAACGCAAATCTGTAGATTTTTTTTGTGACTTTCATGAAGTGATTCTGCAATAAACACAAAAAACTTTATCGGAAACACACGTATCTTGTACATTATTTCTTGTCTTTATTTTAATTTGTGTGTGTGTGCGCGCGCGCGCGCGCGCGCGCGTGTGTGTGTGTGTGTGTGTGTGTGTGTGGTGTGTGTGTGTGTGTGTGTGTGTGTGTGTGTGGTGTGTGTGTGTGTGTGTGTGATAAACTTTATTCTTTTGCTTTTGAAGTTAACCGCCCCAGGACAGCAGATAAGGCACCGGAAGTTGCTGCAGAACTTTCTGCGGATGTCTAATCGTCTTCCTGTTGCTTGATAGAAGTAACACAACGGGCATATTGTTTGTTGCAAGCCACGAAACTCTGCAGTGAGCCGAGGACATCTCGGCATTCTGCTGCATGGCCCATGGTCGTCAGCATTATTGTATCATTTAAGTGGCAAAAGAGAAGTCCCCACCGTGGTGGTCTAGTGGCTAAGAAACTCGGCTGCTGAGCCGCAGGTCGTGGGATCGAATCCCAGCAGCGGCGGCTGCATTTTAGATGGAGGTGAAAATGCTGTAGGCCCGTATGCTCAGATTTGGGTGCACGTTAAAGAACCCCAGGTGGTCTAAATTTCCAGAGTCCTCCACTACGGCGTTTCTCATAATCATGTAGTGGTTTGGGGACGTTAAATCCTACGTATCAATCAATCAACAAAAGAGAAACAAAGAAAGTGTCGTGGGGAAAAGGTAACAATGTTTTGGAGCTGACGAGTCTCATATCAAAGGAAACGTGAAGGCAGTGATAGTGCGACGATGGCTGGTAACGATATGAATGGTGACGAAAGAGGCGGGATGCAAACATTACGCCTTTATCGCTGAGCTTGGCAATATGGTGTCTCATTGTGTCTTATCTGAGATTCCGGTAGGTGCGGCTGACGCACTTTAAAAACACGTTACGAAAGCCGAATGTTCATATTACTGTGTGAATGCGTGTTCAACGATCTGTAAAAGTAATATTGCAAAAGTGTGCTTTCTACCCTCCGCCATCATCTCATGTGCTCAAGGGACTGGCCTGATTGAGGCATTAATTTCTCCTATTTTACAGGATGCTTTATCCAGTGCGCCCGCCTTGTAGATATATGAGTGTAACAGTTTTTCTTTTTTTTTTTTTACGGCGAAACGATCCTTACAAGCCAACAAACACGCGGAAAGCAGTTGACAGGGAGTGGGATGTGGGTGTTTTTCACGCTATCATTGACTACCACCGCCCGTGCTACGTAGTGGTAATTTCTTGAGTGATTATTAGAAAAATAGTGACAAATGTAATTTCTCTCTCTCTCTCTCTCTTCGCAAAAGTACTTTTTACCATCTTTTATTCCCTTCACCCCTTTCCACAGCACAGGGTAGCCAGCTGGTCCAAGAACTGGCTAACCCTACCTGTTCCCACTTAAACTTTCCTCCTCCTCCTTTCCTCCTTGTGTGATTATACCGCGCATGCGCATGACATCGAGCGCAAAAATAGAAGCACCCCTTACGCTTCGAGGATTACGGCTATCAGTTAAATCTTAAGAAAAAAGAAAGACCCTTATTATTCAGAATTTGTGGACGGAGATAGAGTGAACAAACTGCTGAATTTTCGGTCTAGTCACCTCTGAGACAAGTAGCAATTTTTTCCAGATAGCTGCACACTGTAGCACGAGTGGCGGGCAAACGTGTAGTAATTTGACGTCAGCGCCTGCATGTGCACCGGTGTTTCCCCGTGATCGCGCGAAGGGGCGAGCGATGGTTGTCTCGAGGAAGCATCGGCGGTGGAAACACTTCCACGTCAACTCTCGGTGGTGCGTCGTTTTAGCGAGGCGCTGAAGAAACATTCCGCTGTGCCCACGTTATCCCTCTCAAGATGGCGAGGACGAAGCCACCCAGCGACGACCTTCAACCGCAGTAAGTACGCAACGGGGCATTGATTACAACCAGGAGACGCTAACGTGCAAGCTTACTCCTCTGGTCAGATGGCATTGCTACTGCCAGAGTCCTTCAAAGCATTGAAGGACTCTGCTACTGCTTAAGCTGTTTGAATGTGCCGCCGACGCCTGCTGTTTGGCGTAAGACACCGGTGAGACGCGTCCATATGTGGGCGTGAGCTCTAGCTATCTTGCGTATGCCAGTATAATGTGTCAGGTCATTGTGCATTCTTCGCAGTGTGGTGATTCAGTAAGAATAGATGGATGTATGTGCAGCGTGCTACAGGTTCAGGCGTGCATATGTGTTCATTGGTGGTTGGCGTCGTAATACGGCTTCCTGTACTCCTGGAAGAGCGTGGGAGGCGGCCGTGGCAATCTTCGCGGAAGGCGAGAGCGTTACAGGATGCGAGGCATAGATTTGCGCTATAGTCGCCTTACTCTCGATCGTGGCTCCGGTTTTATCCGTGCGCTGTGGCACAGTCATGCGCCTGCCGATTTCCGAGCAAGGACTCGTGCCCCGGAGCTCGTCCAGTGATCATGTGTGGTGGACATTGGTGCGCTACACTCAAAGCGCCATGCACTCAAGGCCTTTGTACGGAAAAGCTCCTTGACTGACTTCTACGCGCCGCTTGAGACTCATCACTGTAACGCAATCTTATCGTTGTCTCGTCGTGATGGATGCTGCTATGGCTAATTCCTGCAACACGGCTGCGCCCGCCTCGAACATTGACGAAACCGCAAGTGAAGCTACTGATAGACTCGATAGATATGGGCGCCAGTGATGGAGTACAGTGCGTACATACCGACACGAATGACTGACAAAATGCGAACGCTGTTTTTTTTTCACTAAAAACGTGTGTAAAACCGCGTGCATTCGGCGTGTGGGATGCACATCTCGTACATCCAGTATTTCCAGATACAGGTGCAAGAAGAATGACTGCGCCATGTGCGTTAAAAAAACAAAAAACATCGCGGGCTCTATTGCGGCTCATTCGCGAGTGACCTAATTACAGTATACAGGCTCAACATGATTTCCAAAAAGTAGTGAAACGTGTTTTAGATCAGTCGCCACTAAAATTACGGTGATGTATAGCGCAAGGATGTTTATACCCAGTGACGGTAAGGAAGGAAGGAAGGAAAATAGGAGGAAAATAACGGCGGGGAGGTTAACCAGCCTATAGGCAGCCGGTTTGCTACTCTGCGCATGGGAGGGGGATGGGGGAGATGAAAGATAGAGAGGAGTGACGGTAGCTGTCTCCATCAGTGCATATGAGCTTTAGTTGAG